ATGTTACACCCCCTCAAACTCTAGAATCTGGAACAATACCCTACACAGTGGAGATTCTAATGAATAATAATCATGAAGGTTGGAAGGAATCAATTTTCTTGAATACAGCTAGGAGCCCATTCTTATAACTTATGATTTACATGATTTTCAGGGTAAGCATATTTTCCATGCATATGGAATGCATAGAAAATGTAGCCCAGATGAATGCTAAATGTTTTGAAAACAAAATATGCCTGGGAAAGGAGCAAAATTAGAACAGTAAAGGAATGAGTCTCAAAAACCAATAGTCTGAGACTCCTGAAGAATATCTCAAGTTTGTGGAGATTACAGAATAGTTGCAAGGTTCTAGATACTGAGATCTTGGAATGACTGAGGACTGTATGTTGAAATGCATGCCCTTGGCATTGCTATGATGCAGTTAGACTATGTCATTTTAAACTAAGCAGGGCCCTCAACAGCTCCAGTCCTTGAAAGCAACTGGTTCACCATCCAGCTATCAGCGTGACCGAACTTTGTCCAGAATGACCTACCCAAGACCCTTGCACAGTTCATGGTACATGGATGCTCAATAAAGAATGGTATTAAACAGGTGAATTTATCTCCTCCTACAATGCTTGGAAAATTGTAGTTCAATGCACTGGGAAATATGTGGTTTGAAGCTACAGATACCGTGGTTACTGACCAACCCTAACATTTGTGTTAATAAATCATAACCACTGGTTAAGGAAAAGCATACTGGCCATAACTTTCTCACCCTCTGTTTTGAAAAATAGATGGAAACCTTCTGTATTTAGAAGAAGAAAATGATCTTTTAAAAAAAATTCAATGCACTTTTTTTCCCCCTAAATAAATTAGACTCATGCCAGGATGGTGAATTCTCCAAAGAGGGTGAGGACAAAATCTTGACATCCATTGTAGTTTCAATCTCTCCATGCCTCAGGGAGAAAGTTAGCTCCCATTTCTAACCTAATGGAAGTCCTTCCTGGTGTCCAGAGGGAGATAGTATGTGCCATGGTCCCCGGGCTATAAGTGGAGGCAAGACCATCTTAGGTAATACCCTCACAGTTCACAGTCCACACTGATTTTGGCACTGAAGAAATTGTTGAACCTGTCGGGATTTTTAGTCAAGCAATAGCCAAATATGTTTTTAATATTAAGAGAAAAGGACCTATACATAAATCACTATACTGTAAGGCAAAAATTACTGCTACAAGAGAAACATAAAGTACTATAAAGTACCGATGGAATACACTATTTAACTGCTAGTAAGAGAAAAGTTTTAAAATGGTGTGGCATTCCGACTGGGCTTTGGACAATTGGTTAAATTCTAACCGGAAAAAGCATAGAGATTGTGCTCTGTGCTTCAGGAATAGTAGTAAAGGCATGAACAGTTACCCTGTGTTTAGGAAAGCCCAGAAAAACAGAGGTAGGAATGTAAGTTGTGAGGAAGAAAAGAAGTTAGAAGATGGTCAGCTGTGCTTTTGCCTTCAGATCTATTCCTCAGGCTTGCATCCAATTCCACTCCATATCATAGAAAAGCCTGCCCCAGCAGACTGCTTTATCAAGGCTCCTACCTCAGCTAGTTTACAGCTGAGTTTGGCCAGTGGGAGATACCTGCTAGAGACTGGAGGTCAGTAATGCAGAGATCAGGGCTCTGTCTGCTCCTTTCTCACTCTTGTGTGTGACCTCTGACAGCAACTATGTCTTCATGTCTCCAGCTTCCACGGGACAGTCCACCTGTGCGGTTTCACTTCTCACCAGGAAGCCCCCACTTAGTTGAATTTCCTCCAAAGAGCTTTGGCTTCTTGGTTCTGGTAACACCATCTCATCACATTGTCCTCTCTGCCCTAAGGGTGGTAGCAGCTTCCTCTTTCACCTGAAGGAAATCAGGATATGTCACTCCAAATACACCTCTCTGACATAAAAATTATTTTGAGTTAAAGACAGCTAAGAAGCAGGAAATGATCTCTCTACCCTCCCCTTTTCTGTATGAAGGCAGGATATAAATTCTCCCTTTACTGGAGACAGACTCTTATCAGCTCAGAGACAGCACCAGAGCAATCTGCAAACAAACCTCACTTTATTAGTTCCCTCCTAAATATTTACCTTCGCACAGTTTGCCATCCTTAGAAGCCTAAAACTGCTTTCCTTTGTCCTGCCATTTCCCTACAAATGTATTGTTCTTTGTTGAAGATGCTATGGAAGCTGGAGTTCTAAGCCACAGTTCTGAGTTACTTTTCATTGAGGTTTCTCCTCCATGATGTGCACAGCACAGGTAAATAAACTATTTTCCTCTTGTAAATCTTTTTGTTAAGGAACCCCAGGTGAAAACTTAAAATCAGCAAAGATAAAGTTTTGGCTCCCCTAAATGGCTAACCTATGGCTTGTTTCTCTATCCTTCATTTAACTGCTCAGCATTCCCATCACTTTGCTTAAAAGACCCAGAGTTGCTTCTATTTTCTGCCAGGAGTCTGATAAGTACAGATGGCCATTAAGACTGACTTTGCTCCACCTTTCTTTGCCTTTCCCTACCTTAGTCCTCTACATTTAAAAGTACAGCTGACCCTTGAACAACGCGGGGGTTAGGGGTGCCAAGACCACACACACAGATGAAAATTTGAGTATAACTTTTGATTCCCCCAAAACTTAACTACAAATAACCTATTGTTAGTGGAAGTCTTACCAATAACATAAAGAGTTAACACATATTTTGTATGTTATATGTTTTATATACTGTATTCATTCAATAAAGTAAGCTAGAGAAAAGAAAATTTTATTAAGAAATAAAGAAATTAAGAAAATTATATGGAAGAAAAATACAGTATTTATCGATACTATAAGTTTACATGGTTTGTTTACAGGATGAATCATCTGTCTGACAGTAGGTACATCAATATTGTCTTATATGATACAAAACACAATAGATGTTCTATGTATTACTATCACTAGACTTCAAAATGAAAAGATAATGTGAAAAATGCATATTTATTTATAAGTATAATGATTTGTGCATTGATAATGAAGAAGCGGCAGTATGATTGCTTCATGGTAGCCTAGCCCATGCACTAGTGAATGACTCATTATAAAAGTTTATGGCATACAATACTATAGTCTTATTCATAATACAGTATTAGAAACATTGTTACTTTTTTTTTTAGAAACCACCTACCTGTGATGATAGGCTGATACACAGTTTCTCCAATAATGAGAGAGAGAGGCATACTGTATGGTAATGTAATTCTTCGAAAGCAAAGTTATAAAACAGTAAGAAAACTAACACACTGTCAATTTTATGTTAAATATTACTAACCTTATGCCTGTGTAAGGTATGCTGTCCACTTCAATACAAGTCTGGTTCACCATGTTCTACCCGATGAATACTCAGGTGATGTTGACAATGATGACACAAAATGTCTCCTATGGCTCCTATCGTACGGTTACTAGATTTTCACATGAAGACACTCACACGTACACAGCAGATAAGTTTATTAACTGTACGGCATGATGTTCATTTACTCTTCGTTAAGTGGATCATCATAAAGGTCTTCACCCTTGTTGTCTCCACGTTGAGAAGGCTGCGGGGGAGGAGGGGTTGGTCTTGCTATCTCAGCAGTGGCAGAGAGGGAAGAGATGGAGGAGGGGGAGGGGGAGGGCAGGAGAGGCAGGCACACTCCGTGTAACTTTATGGAACTACATGGTAATTTCTGTCTGACTTTTGCTTTTTCATTTCTCTAAAACTCTTTCTAGATGGAATCAATCCCCCTACTGTTTTTCACTTTAGCTCCAGTACCCATTTCATAGAAGGGCCCATCCATGTCGTAAAAGAATGAAAAAGCAGTCTTGAAAAATCAGAACCCTTCCGACGGAAGGTCCAATGTCAGTTTGTTTGCTGGCACTGCTTCTTCTACATCTTCTTCCGCATTGTCTGGCACTGGTTCAGAGGCATTCAGTCATCTTCTGTTAATTCCTCTGGTGTGGTGTCTATTAGCTCTTGAATTTCTCCAAGATCCATATTTTTTTTTTTTTTTTTTTTGCGGTACGCGGGCCTCTCACTGTTGTGGCCTCTCCCGTTGTGGAGCACAGGCTCCGGACGCGCAGGCTCAGTGGCCATGGCTCACAGGCCTAGCCGCTCCACGGCATGAGGGATCTTCCCGGACCGGGGCATGAACGCCCGTCCCCTGCATCGGCAGGCAGACTCTCAACCACTGCGCCACCAGGGAAGCCCAAGATCCATATTTTGAAAGACTTTACTTCCCACCTTTTTGTCATAGCCACAATCTCAGGATTTCCTTAATCGGTTCTGTCATAAATCCTGTGAAGTCGTGCACAACATCTGGACAGAGTTTTCTCCAGCAGGAATTTATTGTTTGGGGCTTGATGGCTTTCACAACTTTTTCTATAATAACAATGGCATCTTCAGTGGAAGGTGTAATCCTTCCAGACTTTCATGATGTTCTCTCCATCAGGGTTCTCTTCCATAGCACTGACAATCCTTTCCATAGCATACTGTGTGTGATAAGCCTTAAAGGTCTTTCCAACCCCCTAACCTAGAGGCTGACTTTGAGACGTTGTGTTTGGTGGCAAGGAGACCACTTCAGCAACTTTGATGTTGAACTCATGAGGCTCTGGGTGGCCAGGGGCCTTGTCCAATATCAAAAGAACTTTAAAAGGCAACCCTTTACAGGCAAGGTATTTCCTTCAGGGACAAATCATCGATGGAACCAATCCAGAAAAAGAATTTTCACGGTCCAGGCCTTCTTGATGTACAACCAAGACTGACAGCTGGTGTTTATCTTTTCCCTTCAAGGCTCAGATATTAGCAGCTTTATAGATAAGGGCAGTACTTCTCATAAACCCGACAGCATTTGCACAAGCTGTAGAGTTAGCCTATCCCTTCCTGCCTTAAATCCTAGTGCTCACTTTTCTTCCTTACAAATAAATGCCTTCTGTGGCATTTTTTCCCCCAGAATAGGGCACTTTCATCTGCATTAAAAACCCATTCAGGAGAATCCTTTCTCCTCAATGATTTTCTTAATGGCGTCTGGGAATTCGTCTGCTGCCTCTTGGTCAGCAGAAGCTGGTTCTCCTCTTATCTTGATATTTTTTAAGCCACACCTCTTCTTAAAATTATCAAACCATCCTTTGCTGGCATTAAATTCTACAGCTTTAGATCCTTCACCTTCCTTTGGCTTTCGGTTGTCATATAATGATTTCGCTTTTTTTTTTTTAATCATTTTAGAGTCTGTAGATATGCCTGCACCCACATAAAAGCTGCATTTTCAATACAAGATAAAAAGGTATTTTGCAAAAAGTGCAAGGTTTTCCTGCCTGCTGATGTAGCTGCAGCGATGGCTTCACGATTTTCCTTTCCTTTTTTTACAGTGGTCCTTCCGCTGGATTCATTTATCTTAAAATGGCAGGCAACAGCAGCTGCAGACCTCAATCTAGGGTACATACCCAGCAATTCAACTTTTCCTTGTAATATCATGACTTTTCTCTGCTTCTTGGGAGCACTTCCAGCCTCACTAGTGGCACTTTGTATGGATCCCATGGTGTTATTTGAGGTTTACAATATTGCACTAAACATGATGAAAACCATGCAAGAACTGGGAGAGATCACTTTTTACCGCGATACGAAATTTACCAGAGAGGAACTGCACACGCAGAGATGATTAGCATCACTTGGCGTTTTACACAATACTCACAACACCTGAGCTCACCTAAACAGAAACAGGAGGTGGCTATGAAATTAATATGATAGCACAGTATGTACTGCAGTTAGTTTTACACAGTTACAGTTTAAAACCGCATCTTTACATTTGTTTACATTTCTCTTGGCTGCAAATGGCACCAAGTATAGTCTGTAAGTGTTTTATGAATAAGTTTTGATAAATGTTAACTTTTTATAATACATTTGTGCATATTTGATGGTTGTAAATGATAAAATAGACTAGTATCTATATATATTTTATGCATTCATGACATACTTAACTTTTTCTTCATTTTTTTTTTGATATTTCTAGACTACACGGTTTTGTCTGCAAGTTTTTTCAAATTGGTGCAAATCTCCCCCAAATTTTCCAGTATATTTATTGAAAAAGATCTGCGTATCAGTGGACCTGTACAGTTCAAACCTGTGTTGTTCAAGGGTCTACTGTAGTTGTTTTGTTGTTGTTCTCAACTGGTTTCCATGAATCAGGTTCACTAAAGATTGTGTTTCCTTATTAATTTTCATTTTGGATGATCTGTACATTGGTGTAAGTGAGGTGTTAAAGTCTCCCAGTATTATTGTGTTACTGTTGATTTCCTCTTTTATAGCTGTTAGCAGTTGCCTTATGTATTGAGGTGTTCCTATGTTGGGTGCATATATATTAATAATTGTTATATCTTCTTCTTGGATTGATCCCTTGGTCATTATGTAGTGTCCTTCTTTGTCTCTTGTAATAGCCTTTGTTTTAAAGTGTATTTTGTCTGACATGAGAATTGCTACTCCAGCTTTCTTTTGATTTCCATTTGCATGGAATATCTTTTTCCATCCCCTCACTTTCAGTCTGTATGTGTCCCTAGGTCTGAAGTGGGTCTCTTGTAGACAGTATATTTATGGGTCTTGTTTTTGTATCCATTTAGTGAGCCTGTGTCTTTTGGTTGGAGCATTTATTCCATTCATGTTTAAAGTAATTATCGATATGTATGTTCCTATTACTATTTTTTAAATTGTTTTGGGTTTGTTTTTGTAGGTCCTTTTCTTCTCTTGTGTTTCTCACTTAGAGAATTTCCCTTAGCATTTGTTGTAGAGCTGGTTTAGTGGTGCTGAATTCTTTTAGCTTTTGCTTGTCTGTAAAGCTTTTGATTTCTCCATCAAATCTAAATGAGATCCTTGCCAGGTAGAGTAATCTTGGTTGTAGGTTTTTCTCTTTCATCACTTTAAGTATATCATGACACTCCCTTCTGGCTTGTAGAGTTTCTGCTGAGAAATCAGCTGTTAACTTTATGGGAGTTCCCTTGTATGTTATTTGTTGTTTTTCCCTTGCTGCTTTCAATAATTTTTCTTTGTCTTTAATTTTTGCCAGTTTGATTACTATGTGTCTCAGTGTGTTTCTCTTTAGGTTTATCCTGTATGGGACTCTCTGTGCTTCCTGGATTTCAGTGGCTATTTCCTTCCCCATGTTAGGGAAGCTTTTGACTATAATCTTTTCAAATATTTTCTCGGGTCCTTTCTCTCTCTCTTCTCCTTCTTGGACCTCTATAATGCAAATGTTGTTGTGTTTAGTGTTGTCCCAGAGGTCTCTTAGGCTTTCTTCATTTCTTTTCATTCTTTTTTCTTTATTCTGTTCCACAGCAGTGAATTCCACCATTCTCTCTTCCAGGTCACTTATTTCTTCTTCTTTCTCAGTTATTCTGATATTGATTCTTTCTAGTGTATTTTTCATTTCAGTTATTGTATTGTTCTTCTCTGTTTGTTCTTTAATTTTTCTAGGTCTTTTTTAAACATTTCTTGCATCTTCTCGATCTTTGCCTCCATTCTTTTTCCGAGGTCCTGGGTCATCTTCACTATCACTATTCTGAATTCTTTTTCTGGAAGTTTGCCTGTCTCCACTTCATTTCATTGTTTTTCTGGGGTTTTATCTTGTTCCTTCATGTGGTACACAGCCCTCTGCCTTTTCATCTTGTCTGTCTTTCTGTGAATGTGGTTTTTGTTCCACAGGCTGCAGGATTGTAGTTCTTCTTGCTTCTGCTGTCTGCCCTCTGGTGGATGAGGCTATCTAAGAGGCTTGTGCAAGCTTTCTGATGGGAGAGACTAGTGGTGGGTAGAGCTAGCTCTTGCTCTGGTGGGCAGAGCTCAGTAAAACTTTACTCTGCTTGTCTGCTGATGGGTGGGGCTGAGTTCCCTCCCTATTGGTTGTTTGGCCTGAGGTGACCCAGCACTGGAGCCTACCCGAGCTCCTTGGCAGGGTCAATAACAGACTCCAGGAGGGCTCATGCCAAGGAGCACTTCCCAGAACCTCTGTTGCCAGTGTCCTTGCCCTCACGGTGAGACACAGCCAGCCCCTGCCTCTGCAGGAGACCCTCCAACACTAGCCAGTAGGTCTGGTTCAGTCTCCTATGGGGTTACTGCTCCTTCCCCTAGGTCCCGATGCGCACACTACTTTGTGTGTGCCCTCCAAGAGTGGAGTCTCTGTTTTCCCCAGTCCTGTTGAAGTCCTGCAATCAAATCCCACTAGCCTTCAAAGTCTGATTCTCTAGGAATTCCTTCTCCCGTTGCCAGGCCCCCAGATTAGGAAGCCTGACGTGGGGCTGAGAACCTTCATTCCAGTGGGTGGACTTCTGTGGTATAAGTGTTCCCCAGTTTGTGAGTCACCCACCCAGCAGTTATGGGATTTCGTTTTATTGTGATTACACCCCTCTTACCATCTCATTGTGGCTTCTCCTTTGTCTTTGGATGTGGGGTATCTTTTTTGGTGAGTTCCAGTGTCTTTCTGTGGATTAATGTTCAGCCGTTAGTTGTGATTCCGGTGCTCTCGCAAGAGGGAGTGAGAGCATGTCCTTCTACTCTGCCATCTTGAACCAATCTCCGAGAAATCAGTTCTTGATTGTCAGGTGGTAGAGAGGTGTATGGGGTAGAATATTACACAAGGGAAAGATGAATAATAATAGGCATTTATTTACTGCTTACTGTGTTCCTGGTACTTTTCGAAAAGTGCTTTACATATACTCTCTCATTTAATCCTCACAACAACTCTCTGAGGTATGTACCATAATTCTCCCCATTTGCCAGATGAGAAAACCATGTATTATAAATAGAAATTAAGTCACTGTCCCAAAGTATAAACAACAGCATGGGAGATAGGACAATGCATGTAAAATAGTCAGGAAGGGGAATTCACTCAGTGGAGCTCTTGCTTTACTGTTTGAGATCAAATATGACCAGTTTAGGAAAACTGTCCTAAGAAGTTTGGACATAATACCATGTAACTGAAGGGAATTCATTGTAAATCTCTGAAGGAAGAATTGCCAGGGAAACAGGGCACGTTGTCATGATTTTTGTAGCAAGGTACTATAGTAACTAATTTGCAAACTCTTTATTCATATAGAATAATGCTAAATCAAATATAAATTAAAATGGGAGGAACATGGCTCTTGAAGCATAATGTGTCTTCTGTTCTACAGGAGTGTAATTTTTTTTTTTTTTTTTTTTTGGTACGCGGGCCTCTCACTGTTGTGGCCTCTCCCGTTGCGGAGCACAGGCTCCGGACGCACAGACTCAGCGGCCATGGCTCATGGGCCCAGCCGCTGTGCGGCCTGTGGGATCTTGCTGGACCGGGGCACAAACCTGTGTTCCCTGCATCGGCAGGCAGACTCTCAACCACTGCACCACCAGGGAAGCCCTACAAGAGTGTAATTTGACTGCACAAATTAACTCATGTATACATGGGTTCAAACCTCATTAACCAAAAGTAATGTAATTGGGGATAACATTTTTGAAAAGCAAAAGACAATAGTACCCACTTCATGTGTTCATTGATCACCATAAGGCTTGAGTATTATACATTCAAATTTATATTCTACAGGTTGACAAACATACTAAAATAGGATAGATTAATATAGTAGCTTAAATTGCAAAAATACATCAATAATACGTCTTACATAATGCCAGGAATAACAAAATGTAGCACAGAGCACAGCATTTCCAAATACTATCATATATTCAACACCAGGAGAAAATTATCTTCCAATTCAATATTGCATACCTCTAACAAAATTACACGTTTAAAATTTCTTTTGTTGTGATAGTTTTAAGAATTAGAAGTCTTTGTTTTTATTCAAGCTTCCAGATTCAACCTTCAGCAGCCTCTTCATTTAGTAGAGCATTGACCACTAGGGGGCAGACATGACCAAGCCATTTAATATGTTTCTATTTGCTATTTCAGATTTTGAATCGAGATGCAGTATGCTCTTGAAGCCAAAGGTGTATTTTCTTTAAAACTGCATATCGAACAAACAGAAAAAGAAAGAAAGAAAAAACTGACAATTCAATTTTAAGTCTCTTTTGTTTTCTTATGAGTTACCAAGTCCAAATCTTATCTTTGTTTTCAACTACAATAAAATTAAATTTACAATAGAGACACTGATAGTTAATTATTACTTCTTTGTTATAAGATCGGCAATGTCCTTCAGAACCTAGGTTTGTGTTTCTAGTTGCCTACACTAATAATTTAGTTATATATATTACCTAAATTTGTTCTTACAACACAT